ACACCTATATCGCTCACAAGGGGCAACATGACTACGGACTCTTAATTTTAGTTTGGTTATACTGTCAAAAGCCTGGGCACCAAGACAGTGGCTTCAAAAGGGGACAAGGAGAGAGGCAGAGGACAGGTCCTGTAGTCAGAAGGCTGCCTAGCGCAGGACCCCTGCAGCAGTTCCCTGAGAGGTCAGAAGGGGTGCGTGCTAACCTATTTTTTCCTTGCAATCATGTATTGATGCATTAGTTTTTTGGAAGACACCTAGCAGGAGCATGGCTCTGCAGATGCACAGTGCCCAAGGCAGTCATGTCTTCTGCCTCATGGAACTGGGATAAGTGAGGTGGAGAGATAGAGATAATACATGAGTCAACAAATAGCTAATATTTGTACAGATTTTAGTACGTGTTGAGAAATGAATGGGCCATAGCTGTGGCCGAGAATGACAATCACAAGAGAAAGCTGTAAGCTGCTTGCCACACTCTTCTGCCACCTCCAGCCACTGTCCTGAATTAGAAGAAGTGGCCTTCCTTTTGTTCTCTGCGACACACTGGCCGATCACGCCTACTGTCTGCTCAGAAGCTCCCTCCCATCATCTCTCAGTTCTGTCCGACCTCTCTCACTTTCTCTGTAATAATTTACATTTTAGCATTTGGTTATGTCACACAGCTTGTGGATGAATCAGCTGAGGTCTGGAGGGGGAGAACTACCCTTTTCTACCTGGCCAGCAGACAGAGGCTCCAAATCTCACCTCCTCTATCTCCCTCAACGCCCCACCTACCCTCGCATCTCTGCTGACCCCAGAGCAGGTTGCTACAGTTCCTCCCCTTTCTTATAAAAGTTCCTTCCTATAGTCAGGGGCTTCAATTAACTTTTCTCTCTAGAACGACTGTATTAGGCAAAAATTTGTGTGGGATCCAATAAAACGTCAGATGATATTGAGCATACGTCAGGCAGAGCTTGCAGCCCAGTAAGTTATTATGTATAAATGCTACAACTTTATTTTGAGGAGAATACATGTGTACTATCAAGCTGTTTTATGGATACGCGGTGTGATTGATTACAGCGTGTGGATCTGTTGCAACAAGATAAACTCAGATAGAATAATCTGTGGATATTTAGGCTTCAGCAATTTGTTATCCAAACACAACTCTAGAAATGAGAATTCTTCCCATTTCAGTGATTTCTCTCTTCTCTTCCACAACAAAAATGACTTCCAGAGTGCTGACTTCTGATGCCAGGAGTTGTTGTCTTGCTCTTGTTTGGGTCGGATACTTCTGGCCACTCATAAAAGTCATATTTGTATCAAAACAGCAGCAGCAGCAGCAGGTGGGAGATGGCCAGAAGATGCGCAGGGATGTGTGTGTGGGAGAGGTGAGGTGTGGGGACAGGATGGAGATGAGGTTGCTATTTTAGGGCAGTCTTTGTTTTGAGTTAGCAAATAAGCAAACATAAAAAGCATCTCCATGACTTGTTTAGAACATGAAATAGTTTGGGTAAGAATGGATTACATCAAAGAACATAATGTTTTGTAGATCAGCCCCCAAGCAACTTGTTGCTAAAAAATGACAGGACGGAATACATCAGCAACTTTTCAGACTCATTTGTCTGTGAAACCAAGAGTTTCTAGAATGAATCAATCAAGCTGCAGCTCCCACCTCTGCTCTGCAGGCATCACTGAGCAACTGGGAACACGAGGACCTTCTTTAGCCTCCTAGGAGCTGGGGCCCTTCTTTTGATGGGTCACTCATGTTTACTGCTTGGGTTTCTGGTGTGACTTAATGCACTTCTCTCCTTCTCTCTGATTATCACAACATTTATCACGTGTATGGAGAAGAGCTATGGGTGAGAGGAAGGGAATTAGGGATCCAAAAAGAGAAGTTGTGTGTTAGTATCTTGGCTCTGCCTTCTGATGGTTCTATGACCCTTTCCTTGAGAGACAATCCCATCAACTGAAAAGCAGAGATGAAGGAGCCCATTCCAACTACCATGCATGCTGGTGACCTACAAACTAAACATAGGAACTAGTTTACAAACTGAGCAATGCTAGTCAAGAAATAGTTATGCAGCCACTATTGATTTATGTACAAATAGTCCCTTTGTTTCATTTTCCCGATAAACCACTTAAGACCTCAACTGCTTATATGATCAGAAAATCCAATTCTGCACTTCTTACCCCATATACATTTCCTCCAAATGAGGGAATAATTACTGCTTGGGGCACGTGTCTGCTGCAGACAGATTTACAAAGCCTGTGCTGTCCATGAGCCTTTGCCTAGAGGCCTTATGTAAATTTATGGGTGTAGATCCCTCCACACTATTGCTGGGTTTTCCTAGGCTTCAGTCCTCTTGCACACATACTCACACCCTGGATCACCATTTCCCAAAGCTCTTTTACATAATGTCCTCTTGGAATTCCTTAGTTCCTATGACTGATTCCATGCCACTAGTTCATACCCTACCTTGGAACATTCTGTTTTAGATCCATCGTAGTCCTTTCCTGGTAGAGGACTTGGGGGTGCCTTGGGGATAATGATATCATTTCTGTGCCTCAGGATGCTCTTTTATTATTAAGTGGAAATGAAAAGTAGCATCAGGGTTGTGGCAAAAAATTAGATGAGATTCTAGATGTAAGGCTTTCCTTAGATGAGTGTGTGGCATGGGCTGAACCCCAGAGGTGTTATTAGCTGTTATCTACTTTGATTGAAGGGTGACAGATAATGGCTACTGTGATCTATGTGGTTCCCCAGTCTGAGATTTGCACCGAAGGGATTAGTATTCAGGTTGTTTCTTGCTTAAAATGGTCCTGGGCTCCTAATATAACAAATACAATTTAACTGTGTCTTTTGCCTCCAGTGACTCTCAATGAGAGAGTTGGATCTACTAAATTAAACAAAGGAAGAGCACACTTATCGGTTATCCAATACCAAATGGTCAGCCCTGAAAACACACATTAGTAACATAATATAGACCCTATCTATCTATCTATCTATC